TTCACGTAGCAAGTGCTAGTCGTGGACAAGATTGAGGACCACAATGGAAATAAGACAGTCCCTCGATGACGCACTGCCTTTCTTGGATTATCATGGGTCGCTAATCCTCCGGAATTAAAAATTCGAAATTCTTGTAACTCAAATTTCAATTTATTTTTTTTATCGGCCCACGCGAGCGTGCAGATCCATGCTGTCTCCTTAATTAAGCTTCCATTTAAACTCGTCATTTAAATGTATTGAGAACATAGCACAAAACATGCTGTGAATGCATGATTTTTTTGACGAGGTTAATTTAATAATAGGTATATAGAAGAAAAACACATTACTGTATAACTTTTACAATTTATTGTTAACACAGAGTACTTTCATTGTAGTTAAAGTGAATGTGGTAATTATTCAGGACCAGATGAGTAACTTCTTTCATTAGGTGAAGGTGGTAAGTATTTAAGCCCTGATGAATGACTTCTTTCATTAGGTGAAGGTGGTAAGTATTTAAGCCCAGATGAGTAACTTCTTTCATTAGGTGAAGGTGGTAAGTACTTAAGCCCAGATGAGTAACTTCTTTCATTAGTTGAAGGTGGTAAGTATTTAAGCCCAGATGAGTAACTTCTTTCATTAATTGAAGGTGGTAAGTATTTAAGCCCAGATGAGTAACTTCTTTCATTAGTTGAAGGTGGTAAGTATTTAGGCCCAGATGAGTAACTTCTTTCATTAGTTGAAGGTGGTAAGTATTTAAGCCCAGATGAGTAACTTCTTTCATTAGTTGAAGGTGGTAAGTATTTAAGCCCAGATGAGTAACTTCTTTCATTAGTTGAAGGTGGTAAGTATTTAAGCCCAGATGAGTAACTTCTTTCATTAGTTGAAGGTGGTAGGTATTTAGGACCAGATGAGTAACTTCTTTCATTAGTTGAAGGTGGTAGGTATTTAGGACCAGATGAGTAACTTCTCTCAATACGTGAAGTGGGTAAGTATTTAGGACCAGATAAGTAACTTCTTTCATTAGACGAATGTGGTAAGTATTTAGGACCAGAAAAGTAACTTCTTTCATTAGGTGACGGTGGTAAGTATTTAAGCCCAGATGAATAACTTCTTTCATTAGGTGACGGTGGTAAGTATTTAAGCCCAGATGAATAACTTCTTTCATTAGGTGAAGGTGGTAAGTATTTAGGACCAGATGAGTAACTTCTCTCACTACGTGAAGGTGGTAAGTATTTAGAACGAGTTTCAAGGCGTCCTTCATTGTGGAAAAGTGGCAGATATTTGGTACCAGTAAAGTAATTTCCTTCCATGAATGAAGGAAATGAATAACTTGCTTCTTCAGAAGTACTAGGCAGATACTTGGGAGCACATGAGTAACATTCTTCTGTAGGTGAAGGTGGCAGGAATTTAGTACTGGATGAGGAACCTTCTTCTTCAGTAGTTGGCGGTAGGTATTTAGAATTAGGCGAGTAACGAGTAAATCTCTGAAGCAGGACAGGTTTAGATGCTGTGGACAAAACGACAATAAATAAATAAATGGTATAAAATACCGACACAATGAAAAATAAATAAAGAAGTATAATGTGCTCCTTTACTGACGACGTTTCGCTCACAGGAGGCCTTATCAAGTCACAAATAAAACCCACTGAGTGGACGAAACGTTTTCAATAACGGACCACATTATACTGCTTCTGTGGTTATTTTTCCAAACATCTCATACAGGAAAATTGAATATAAAAAAAATCATTAACTACTGGTTTATGCAGGTTGTTAAAAGAAATAAGGATTATATTTTGTTTACACTCACCTTGGGGATCAAGGCTGCAGGCAGCTAGAGTGACCCACGCTAAGAACAGCAAACAGGCTGACAAGTTGATCGTCGTACACATCGTTCCAGATGATCTGATGACTGACTGACTCTTTAGTTGCTGAAGGAGCTTTATATAGTCCTGGTAGTAGTAGTGGTGGTGGTGGTAGTAGTAGTAGTAGTAGGAGTAGTTGGAGGATAAGAAGGAGGACCAGTAGTAGTAGGACCAGCAGTAGTAGTAGTAGGTCCAGCAGCAGTAGTAATAGTAGTAGTAGTAGTAGTAGTAGTAGTAGTAGTAGTAGTAGTAGTAGTAGTATCAAATTTCATCTCAAATTGATGGAGATTTAGACGCATGCGCAACAGCTGGGATGTGGAAACAAACACAAGGCCGAGGGACTGATTACCTCATCTTTTGTATATAGTTCTACTGTCTTCCTATTATGTCCTAGAATCTGTATTGATAAAGCCACTGGATGGCGAAACGTCTACAATAAAGATATCCAGATGTTGCACATGTGTCTTAACTTTCATATTGTCGGTATTTTATACCTTTCTTGCACATAAACACACATGAACATTAAAATGGTATATGCAGTTTCACGTGATCCTTTATTGACAACGTTTCACCTACACAGTGGGCTTTTTCAAGTCACAAAAAGATCTACCTGGGGTACGAACGAACGAACGAAAGTTCAGGTAAGATCCCAAATGGGATGAGCGGGTAAGACGGGACAGACGAAGAATAGTGCTGGAGAGGAGTGTTCTTAGTCGTAGAAATAGAGCCAGGGCTTAACCCAGCAGCAAAGGCGATCGTGGGACAGATATTGAAAAGAGAAATTCCGGTTCTTCTGTTGGGACTCCGGTGGGGGGAGCTGGGAGTAAGGGACTTGCGACCTTTAGAGCTAGAGAGGAGTGCAGAACTGAGTCTTTGTCTTAACCCAAAAAGCTAAGGCGAACGTGGGTCAGAGAATGGTACCTGTCTTAGAAGGTACCTGTCAGCGGATCCAAGGTTATTTGTAAGTAGGGTTAGGAGCAGGATCATGCAAGGAGTAGAAAAGGTTGTGTTGGTTTGTGGGTTCTGCGAATGTCTTCGTCAAGGAGAGAGGTCCAGTAGTCATGTCGTGTCTCAAGTTTGTCTATCTGTCTGTCACTGAGCCTCTTCCAGTACAGATTCAGCGCAGGGACGTCTAACTGGGCATGGAGAGACTCGCTTGTGGCGAAGTCCTCCCATCTGACATCAAGCACCCAGCGCAGCGCCTTGTTCTGGACACGCTGCAGTTTAAGTAAGTTTGTTTTTGCTGCAAGAGAGAGGGCTAGAGGAGAGTAAGTTATCAGAGGACGTATTAGGGATTTGTAGAGGTGTAGTTTGGTGCGTTGAGAGGCATGTTTCAGCTTGTAGAGGCCCCCAAGGGCCTTACTAGCTATTGCATGCCTTGAGTGAATGTGTCCGTGTAAACGAAGAAGGTAGTCAAGATTAACGCCAAGGACAGTGACAGATTGTGTGATAGGGAAGTAAGTGCGGGTGTCAGCTGTTCTGAGTACGACAGGTAATGGAGGATCACGTTTCCTGTAGTTAAAATACGTAATGCTGGATTTTTGCTGCATTGGTTTTGATCCCCCATTTTGTTCCCAGATGGCTATCCTGTCAACCTCATTTTGTGTTTTGTGTGTGAGTGTATCTATATTGGCATGAGTGATAAGTTGTGTAATGTCGTCTGCATAGGCTAGTGTGATGGAGTTGTGGTATATAGGTGTTGGAATGTCGTTAGTGTATAAAATGTAGAGGGTAGGGGAAAGGACAGATCCCTGGGGTACTCCAGCATTTAGTGTGAAGTAGTCAGAGTAACAGCCTTGGAATTTGATTCTCATGGTACGGCCGTCTAGGAAGTTGCAGAGGAGTTTACGAGTATTGAGAGGCAGGTTGAAGTTAGTGCAGAGTTTGTACTTGAGCCCTCGTGCCACACAGTGTCAAAAGCTTTTTCAACGTCTTTTGCAACCAGGGCTGTCCTGTTTCTTTGTTTTGTGTTTATGTGGATGTAGTTGAGAATGATGTTAATGGCATCCTGTGTGGATCTGTGTGTTCTGAAGCCAAACTGGCCATCTGAAAGTAGAGAATTATGTTCCAGGTATCTGCGAAGGCGATGATTAATGAGTTTTTCAAAGAGTTTTCCTAAAGTTTCGAGGAGGCTGATAGGGCGATAGTTTTTAGGGTCAGAGTGGTCCCTAATATGTTTCAATATTGTTTCATACTATGGAACAATGCTCTTCTCCAGACTGAGGGACTGACCACCTCAAAACTTTAAGGGTGATGGACTGATTACATCGTCTTCAAGTATCTTCTGCTTCTATCAACTTTTCTGTACTTGACTGAAGAAGCCTACTGTGTAGGCGAAACGTTTCATAATAAAGATACCTAACTGTTGCATATGTGTCTTACCTAACGAATACAGAAAGTAGGCAGGAACAGTAGAACTATCTAGATAGTTCCTGACTATGGAACTGAACTTCTCCAGGCCGAGGGACTGACCTCAAATTCTACGACTACAAGGGTGATGGACTGATTACATCGTCTTCACATCTCTACTGTTCCTGCCTACTTTCTGTATTCGACTGAAGAAGCCTACTGTGTAGGCGAAACGTTTCAGAATAAAGTTGTCTAACTGTTGCATATGTGTCTTACCTAACAACCTGTCGGTATTGTATACCATTTTGATGTTCAAGCATTTTTGTGTTCTGCTATCCTAATGTCCAGAGTTCTGGCTGTTTCCCCTACATATACTTTGTCACACCCTCACATGGTATAGTGTAGATTCCTGCACTTGTGCCAGAATCATGCTTGGGTTTTTGTATCAGGTTCCTAATAGTAGTTGAAGAGCTGGTAGATATTTTAGCCAGTTTTCTGTCAAACATTTTTGAAACATTAGTGGCAACGTTGCTGACCGGTAAAACGATGTAACTTGGAGGCTTTTCTTCAATTTGATAGGTGTTGGTCTTGCTGAGGATACGTGTGCACGTTTCCTGCAGTCACGTATGAAGTGTAGTGGAAAGTGTAGTGAACTAAAAGAGTTGGTTTACCTGGAGTTTACCTGGAGAGGAGTTTCGGGTGATGTATGTTACATTCTTCTTCGAGGAACTGCGGACTGGAAATTCTGTAGGCTCTCAGAAAGAAGCCAATAACTACCCCTCTTTTAGTTCTTGTGTCATGGGAGAGAAGAAATTGTAGAAGATCATTCTTGTAGGTAGGCTTCCAAATGTGCCTATGAGACCATTACATCTGGAATCGGCAGCGCCCTCACAGTCTAGCAGGAGTTTTGGCGAAATATTTGTCAAAGCTCCTGGGTACAATCAGTCAGGCTCATCTAAAGCATTCGGGTGACCTCCTTAACCGTATCAGGGATCTTGACATGAGTGATAAGAAGCTTGCAAGTTTTGACGTGACTGCCTTATTCACCAATGTCCCAGTGATCAAGCCATTGATCTTCTTCGCAGGGTGATTAAAGATGATACAGAGTTACCTGTACCCCTCCAAGATTTTGTGAGCCTTGTCGAAATTTGTGTTCGTTATAACTGTTTTAGGTTCGAGGACAAGAAGTACAAACAACTCTTCGGACTAGCCATGGGATCCCCCCTTAGTGCAGTTCTTGCCAATTTATATATGGAGGACCTGGAATCAAGAAGGATCCTCAGTAACATTCCCTCGTTCAGTTACTTGGATGCGGTACGTAGATGATATTTTGGTCATTGTACCCAAAATCTTGACGTACAGGGCATCCTCAACACCATCAACACTCTGGAACCTACTATTAAATTTACTCTAGAGGAGGAGAAGGACAACCAGTTACCTTTTCTCGACGTTCTCTTACGCACAGGGGAAAACAAGCTTTCTTTTAAAGTCTACCGGAAGCCTACCTACAAGAATGATCTTCTACATTTCTTCTCTCACCATGACACAAGAACTAAAAGAGGGGTAGTTATTGGCTTCTTTCTGAGAGCCTACAGAATTTCCAGTCCGCAGTTCCTCGAAGAAGAATGTACATACATCACCAACTCTTTTAGTTCACTACACTTTCCCCTACACTTCATACGTGACTGCAGGAAACGTGCAACACGTATCCTCAGCAAGACCAACACCTATCAAATTGAACATTAAAATGGTATAAAATACCGACAGGTTGTTAGGTAAGACACATATGCAACAGTTAGGTATCTTTATTATGAAACGTTTCGCCTACACAGTACGCTTCTTCAGTCGAGTACAGAAAAGTCGATAGAAGCAGAAGATACTTGAAGACGATGTAATCAGTCCATCATCCTTAAAGTTTTGAGGTGGTCAGTCCCTCAGTCTGGAGAAGAGCATTGTTCCATATATAGTTTCATACTATGGAACAATGCTCTTCTCCAGACTGAGGGACTGACCACCTCAAAACTTTAAGGGTGATGGACTGATCACATCGTCTTCAAGTATCTTCTGCTTCTATCAACTTTTCTGTACTCGACTGAGAAGCCTACTGTGTAGGCGAAACGTTTCATAATAAAGATACCAAAACTGTTGCATATTTTGTCTTACCTAACACCTATCAAATTGAACATAAGAACATAAGAACAAAGGGAAAACACTGCAGAAGGCCTACTGGCCCATGCGAGGCAGGTCCAAGTCCCCTACCGGCTTAACCCAAAATGCACCCAACCTAGTCAGGTCAGGTCACTTTTGATTTTAAGGGAGGAACACAAAAACCAAACCTGGTAGCACAAGCTATCAGGTCTAACTCACACCCAACCACATCTACTCACGTATTTACCCAAACCCTATTTTTAAGCTACACAACGTTCTGGCCTCTATAACGGTACTTGGGGAGTTTGTTCCACTCATCCACAACTCTATTACCAAACTACTTTCCTATACCTATTTTTGTTTCATACCATGGAACATGCTCTTCTCCAGACTGAGGGACTGACCACCTCAAAACTTTAAGGGTGATGGACTGATTACATCGTCTTCAAGTGTCTTGTGCTTTATCAACTTTTCTGTACTCGACTGAAGAAGCCTACTGTGTGGGCCCGAAACGTTTCGAAATAAAGATACCTAACTGTTGCATATGTGTCTTACCAAAACAACCTGTCGGTATTTTATACCATTTTAATGTTCTATATCCTTCCTGAATCTGAATTTTTCCAACTTAAAACCATGGCTGCGGGGTCCTGTCTAGGCTAGATATTTTCAGCACACAAATTTACATCCCCTTTATTTATTCCTGTCTTCCTTTTTATACACCTCAATCATATCCCCCTAATTTACGTCTTTCTAGAGAGTGCAGATTCAGGGCCCTTAGTTTGTAGATGAATGGTTCAGAGAACCGACATGTTGATAAATTAGATACATGTGCAACTCTTGGGTATCTTTACCAGC